TGAACTTGGCTTGCGGGGAAAATAAGTTATTAGAACCGCCCTAGCCGCTTGCTGTGTATTCTTTTACAGAACTGCTACTTAAGCAAGGGAAAAGGCTGCATCACTTGGCTGCTTCCATGTTGTTAAATTTTGTTTTCGTTACCAGGAGCTGAGCCAATGACCCTTGGCTCCCCGACATCTCCAAAACCGGGAGCTAGTGCCCAGTTTCTTCCCGGATTTTTGATGGGTGATTTACCTGCGCCAGTGACTCCGCAGCCACGCGGCCCTTCGGTTGGTGTGATGGAAATGAGATCTCCACTGCTTGCAGGTCAGAACTTGTTAAATGCCAAAAAATTGTCCCAAAAGTCAAAACTTGTTTTGTCTTATTGGTGTACATGACTGTTGGAGACTTGAGTTCTTGTGCATTTATAACTTGCTCTATATGAATTCAACTCATTGAATAAATAGTGGACTGAAGTATGTTCAATGGCATTTGGCTAAAGTTTAATAAATGTTTTAAAGAGGACAGTTTTGGTTCCAGGAAAGGTTGCTTTTACAGGGAAGGTAATATGAACCTCTTCTAGTATAAAATCAATTTATACAACTCTTTACAAGTCGACTGCACATACAGCTGTCAGTATTTTCTCTTTGTTTAAAACAGAGATGTCTGCTGGCAAACTAAACGCAGCTTGTGCAAGATGCTGAAGTCAAAAAGTTTACGAAATGGGAGAGCACCTGACTTAACTTCATCCTGTTTAAATGCAAGCTAGTCCTTGCTCTCAAGAGCTTATATTTTTATTTAATATGAAATTACATGGGAAGGAAAGGAGTTTGGACAGTGGGAATGTGTCAGCATGGGCAATGTCTGTGTGTGTTTTGATATTGTTCTTTAGCATGTAGAGTGTCTCAAGTCTTAAAAACCTTGCTTTTGCAGCTCTGCTACAGGGAAGTTAGTCTCTGAAACAAGATCTACTACTAACCTGCCTTAAAATAGGAAGATGCAGCTATGCTTAGAACTTCATAAAAAGAACAAGTGCATGCAAACAGTGAATATACTGTGTTAATCAAAGGTGTAAAAGTTTTAGGTAATGCTTGTGTAAGGAGGCAGTTACTGACACATGTGATAGTCTTATGTAGAATGTTCAAACCTGAACGGTTTGGTAGGCCAGATGTTTTTGCAAACCCACAGCGAAACAATCGACAGGCTTTCGTGGCTGAATTTACTGTTTCAAGAACAAGTAGCAGTGGAGTACAGTTGCAAGTTTCCTCATGCTCTTCATTTGCTCCTTTAAATTGCAGGAGGGTCTCCGCCACAACCAGTGGTCCCTACGCATAAAGATAAAAGTGGTGCTCCACCAGTTAGAAGCATATATGATGAGTTATCTAGTCCTGGACTTGGTTCATCACCTCTAACCTCAAGAAGACCAGTAAGTGGCTTAGGTACTGGCCTGTTCTTAGCAGAAGATGTGAGGTAGCTTACTACTTCAGAGAATTCTTTATCTCAACTGCATAAACTGCTGTAGCAAAATGGCTGGTGAGTCTTCAGATGGTGCTGTTGCTTAGTCTGGGTGTTGGGTGTGCCTGTTGCTGTGTAGCCTAAATGAGAGCTGCAGTCCTGGAGCTATCTCCTGCCATTACTGATTTTTTGATACTGTAGAGAATGAAAAATGCAGATTGTGCCCCTGCTATGCTTTGTGTGTGAAAAATGTAGACTTGTTGCAACTTTTCACCTTCTTGTAGATTTATCGGGCTGCTGATTGCCGGAAGGGTCCAAATATGCTTTATCTTTTCTTTTAGTGGGTAGTAAAGGCGCTTACTGAAATAGAAGAAATTTTGTGCTGAGTAAAATATCCATTCAAAATGTAGGCAGGGAGGCGGGGTTAATTTTCAAAGAGTAACGGTAAAATTACTAGAAGGCCATTCTAATAATAAGCTCTGCTACTTACCTCAACTGAGCAGTCAAGTGTTAGGTTCTTTTTCAATGAACATGATTCTTTTGATGCAAGGAGAAGGCCTTTCTCTGAATGAGCAGTCTTTCTATTGAGTATTGCTTTCTGAAAAGCTTATTCTGAAAGCTAGAGTTCTTCTCAAAGGACAGAATCCAATACTGTCTGAAAGGACGAGATATTAAAAAAACAACCCAATGAGCAGCTATCAGAACGCACGTTGCTAAGTCCACAGGTGCTCTGGTTTGTTTGATACTGTGTCTAAGAAATGCCAGGTTCGGGCTAAAAATATACTAAAATTGTTTTGAATCTTGAAATTCTTCCATTTTAAAAACAAAGTAACTACTCGCTGCTAAAATTTGAAGTATGCTTTCCTTCAGTGTGGTTGCACTAGGCAGTTGAGAGGGAAAGTAAGTGCTGAGGAATACAAGTGGGGGTCATGCCCCTGTTATTTCTAAGCCCTCTAGACAGTGAAAATCAGATGCTGGTAACTTAGGGTACTGGCATCCTTTCCATCAGGATGCATGTGAATGTGTGAATTACTGTGCTACAGAAACAGTGAGATGCCTGTTTTGAAAAAGTTAAGCTCTAGGGTTTCTGAGTATTGATGCCTAAAGCTGCTTGGCTTTACATAGTGTATGTGATTGGTGTTAGGTAGGGGATTTTTTCAGTTTCTGTTACCTAAAGCTCACCCTAAGCCTAAATAAGTTTTCTTCTATACCAGTAGATTTTTTTCTTTTCAGATAATAAAATACTGTAGACAGTCCCTGAATCCTGTTGTCTGTGGTGCTTCTCTTCTGTAGTTTGCTCTACACTCCCATACTATCTCTCATACTTGCATTTAAGCCTCTGATCAGGAAAGTTAACCTCATTCTCTTCTGAGGCTTAGTAATCAGCTGGAAATTACAGAATGTAATAGTTGAGACCTACTGAATGTCCAGGCTATCTGCTAGTCTGCATGCTAGAATGAGAAAATATTGTAAAATAACATGTCATTAATCACTTTCAATAATCTTTTATTAAATATCCATTTAAATGTCTGTTCTTACTCTTAAAAGTTAGGAGTAACTTCAGGCAAACAGTTAATGTTCTTGCCTGATACTTAAGTTACCTGAAAATGATCTCTTCTTTTCTGCCAAGTGTACCTGTAAGGCTGATTTCTTACTTTCTGTGTTTTAATGCAGGCCAGCTTTTCTCTAACACAGAGCCCGCTGGTTGGAACTGTGCCGTCAACTCCAGGAACAGGTAGGTGCCTTGTCAAAATCTATAATCTACTTTCTTACTGCTTTCCTTAGTACACAAAAACCATCACTGCTCAGGCTATGGCAACTCCTTGCTAATTTGCAAAGGAGTTGCATCTTTATTTACTGGCTTTTCAAAAGGGATGTGGGTGTGAACAGAAGATACTTTTCCACTCTGAGACTGAATTTCAGTCAACTTTGCTTATTCCTCATGCAAAATTTGTTGTGGAACTGAGCACAGGGGTTGTTGTACTTGAGTGAAGCAGCTGAGAGGGATGGGTTGCCTTCCATCTTCATAGGGCTTCCTGTGTTGTGTATGAACCCATGACTTCTTGCTAAGCTTAATTCTACTGTCTTGTTCTTATTTGGCTTCTGTATTAAGCTGCTGGTGTTTACAGGTCAAGGAGAAGGCTAGATTGCTAGACATAACTTACTAGCATGTTTGCAGATGTGAAGCTTGGATTGATTTACTGTTTGTGTCTGCAAATAAATCTCCATCAAACTCTTCCATATACAAGCGAAATGCTTGGTACTGAAATTGTTCTTTTACTTTAGGCTCTTAAGCTTATCTGTCTTGCAAAAGTGATTTGTTAAACAGTGCCATTTCAATTTAACAGCTTCCAGTATGTTCAGTCCCGTAAGCATTGGGCAACCGAGGAAGACTACTCTATCTCCTGCTCAGCTAGATCCTTTTTATACTCAGGGTGATTCCCTGACTTCAGAAGATCAACTTGATGACACATGGGTAACTGTATTTGGGTAAGTTGATTTCCAAAGAATTTGAAAAAGTCATGGGTGAAGTCTTTCCAGCATATGGAAAGATTGTACTTGGATGTTGCTGTTGCCTGGCATTCCTAGGTTCTGTGGGAAATAGAACTGTGGTTAAAGCCAGCAAACGCATCTATTTTAGCGAAGCACCTTAAGCTGCATGTTAACTTTTTCAAGGTAGAAAGGCAGCATTGTGCTGTTGAGATGTGTAGTGAAGTAAAAATGCCTAGAAGATGATATTCCTCAAGTCACTGCTTCTAAAATGGCATTAACTCACTGGTCTCTTTGGGATTTCTAAAAGCCTTTCACAGGATTGTGGTTTAGGACCAGAGTTCTTAAACTACTCATTATAACTTTTTGGAGTATTTTTTTCTGTCTTTCAGATTTCCTCAAGCATCAGCTTCCTATATTCTTCTGCAGTTTGCTCAGTATGGGAACATATTAAAGCATGTGGTATGTCCCAGTTTGAGACTTATTTCTGAAAACTTTCTGGCTTGTTCTTTAGGAGGCTGAATCTCACAGTTTTCACTTAATCTCATACAGATGTCGAACACAGGAAACTGGATGCATATTCGATACCAGTCGAAGCTTCAAGCCCGGAAAGCCCTAAGCAAAGACGGAAGAATTTTTGGTGAATCTATCATGATTGGTGTCAAGCCGTGCATAGATAAAGTATGCTAACAGCTACTTCTGTTTAAATAGAAGGCACCCACTTTCTGGGCTGCTTTGTTTTCCCTGATGTCTTCTTTTTTCTGCAAAGCATAGGTAGTTCAGTTATATAGGTATAGTCTGTTATACCTTACATGAG